GGAATCACTGTCAGGGGCACTTGGAACCCTCTCAAAAACACCCAGAACCCTCTCAGGGGCACCTGGAACCCTGTAAGGGACACCTGGAACCCTGCTGGGGGCATCTGGAACCCCAAGACCCATCTCTGGTCCCACCCCCTCTGCTGCAGCCCCGCTGGTTTTAAAAGCAGGCCAATATCCCGTGGAGAGCCCCACAAACAGCCCCAAAGCCATGAAATGGGGTTGCACTCACGTTTATCCCCCTTCAGCAGCTCCTCCTGAGCTCTCCTGCTGCTCTGGGTGCAGACAGACAGGGTTTTGATGGCAAAGGTGGATGTGAGCTGCCCTCCAGCCTGACGGGGTGAAAGCAGGGCTGAACAAACACAGCCCATCCCACTTTTACCCCAGAACTGTTTGGATACCATGGGCAGAGTGGTTATTCCTGATACCAGAGCCCAAATGACAAATTCAAACCTTTCCAGGRCATTTATCTCAAGGCTGGAAATCCCACAAACCCATTTATTTCCTGCCAGCACAGACACAAAATTCCCTGCATCTCCATCTCCTGATTCTTTTCAAACCATGAACTCCCTACTTTTTCTAAACCAACTCATCCTGCACAATCTACATCTGCTGAACACAGATACACAGCCAAAATTAAAATAAAAATTAAAAAAAAAATCTTAAAAAAAAGGGTTTAGAACTAAATCTGGGAGCAGGATTTGGATCCTAACCCTAACCCTAATCCTGACCTAACCTTAACCCTGATCCTGACCCACCCTCCAAGGAAAGGAGGATAAAAACAGAGGGAATTAGATTTGCTAATGGGCAAACATAGGCAGAAATAAAGAGAATTTGATTTACTTTTAAGAATTTGAGCATTTTCTTCACCACTCCTCCTTTCACTGCTTCCTCCACTGTTGAGGGAGACGCTGGCAGGACACGGCTCAGCACTCCAACAGCTCTCTAAATGAGGAAAAAAGGAGAGAGAAACAAAAAAAAAAATGTTTATTTGTTCAGGCAGCTT